AGTTAAGAACTCAATCTCTGCTGCAGTCGAGGATGCTACACAGGAAGGAGTTGCCACCAAGTCGTCCCTCGCATTCTGGCATGGCAAATCCATCAACCCAAGGAACCTCTACCCCAAAGACCCACCTTCAACAATAATCAGACAGGCACTGACCATAAGAGCACAGCTCCTCACATCAACCTACCTCACCCGAACTCGTCTTACCAAGATTAAGAAAGCAACCAACACAAAGTGTCCTCTCTGCAATCTTGAGGAGGATACCGTAGTTCACGTTATGGCTGCCTGCTCGACTACTGTCAACCTTCTGGAAGACCTTATCGCCAGAGCCAGTAGACTCCTGCATAATGTCCTCGACTCTGCACCAAATACACCACTGCTCAACACCCAGGACCCTTCCCATCTGACTTGCGCTATTCTCTTGCCATAATGATCCATACCTTCCCTCCACTGTCAATGATTCTATTTTAAAGATGACACTTCACTATCTTTACAAAATTCATGCCCATCGCCTGCACTCCATACCCTCCAACTAAGGATTTTATAACATATTCACAGCAGCCTACTACTTCGAATGCGATATACTCGCTGATCTCCGAAAAGCGGAGGGACAACAACAGAGAGATACAAATTGATGCAAGGATTTTTTTTTTTGAATAAGCAATGCTTTTCACCAGAATCTTCTTTGTAAAAACGACTTTTGACAAATCTCAGCCATGCAATTCTGCCACTGTGTTGTAAGATCACTTTCAGATTAGGAGAAGTGTATTCTTTCATGAGTACTTTAAATTAAATGGAACGTCTCAACTCAGTAAGCATGGCTGAGATTTGTAAAAGTTGTTTTTTACAAAGAAGGTTCTGGTGAATAGCAGTGCTTATTCAAACAAATATTCGCATCAATTTGAATCACAATCATTATTTGTCGCTTAATCCCTTTTAATGACCTTGTTTTCCTTCTCGTTTGCAAGGGGAGAAGAAGATATGTCACGTTAAAGACATCATAAAGATCGGTGTTGTATACGTATATATTATAGGTTTTCCCGCCCAACTTCGTAATCTTAGCATCCGAATTAACGTTACGTTCATTCAAGTTGGTGCGAAATTGAATGACTATGTAGATCAACATTCAAAAAGCTAATTGCGCCATTCAATTTGATTTAGTAGCATGCGATTTCATACTCTTGTCACGGAGAAGTGCAAAACGAGCATTCAATTTAGGAAAGCGTGCCAAGAGCATTCAAATTCGCGCCGGACAGACGGTGGTATGTCTTCGTGCATTCAATTTCGTTATTAGGCATACATTTGTGACATTTGTGCATTGCTTTAATGCTTTTCATTTGATGTTAATTTGTCACTTAATATACTTATGTTTGAATAATTTCATGCAAAGTTTACTTGGAGGAATGACATGCGTATTCGTTCTGTCATTACACAGGTAACTGTCCCCAGAGAAGGAGCACAATGTGTGACTTCTCTTCTAAGCACAATATCTTGGAGAGAGGTAGAGTTCAGGTTTAGTAGACATTGACATGATGGAAACAAAATACAATGATGAATAAATACAAAGATGTTAAATGAAAAGAAAAAAAAGTTCACCTACTCAATCAAGATTGGTTAAAACAAACCATTTAAAACATAACCCCTAAGGCATTTATAATGAAAAATATGAAGATATGAATAAAGTGATGTTTCAACAAAAATAAAGAATGTCGAAAGAAAGAGAAAACATAAAATGCAATATAAATATATCAGATAAATAAGAAGATTGTATAATTTGAAATCATGTCAGAGAAGATCATAGAGAAAAAGACTACATAAATGAACATAAAATACTGAATATCCGAAAGAACATCGAGCCTCATACTATGATTATGAGGTCTAGTTTTAATTTTAACGACCCGATTGCGAAAGAGGTTTCCCAGAGACGAAAATGAAACCGCAATTCGCCAAAGAATTCACCTCCCACTCAACATTGGCGAAATTGAATGACCCTTACGCATTTCCAAATTACTTGAACCAAGCTTAAATTTGAATCTGCATTAGAAAATTCGGTGACTCAAAACGAAATTGAATGCAACAGGTTTAAAAATGAAACAGGGTAGCAACGAGTGGAAAAACCTTGCTCGAACATGAATGCACGTTAATGAAATTGATTGCTGCTTTTACGAAATTGGCCGGGAAAACCTATATATACACAGGCCCCGCGGAACGTTTATGAAAGTGGGGGCAAAAGTATTTACGATCAGGTAGAGGGTAGCGAGCGTAAATTGGTGTGAGGATTCAGGGGTTTTAGGCATTTAATTACGGTCAGAGAAGCAGAAATATTTTGATGCCGCATTTGTGTCACTGGCAGGTCAGGGGGGGGGGGGCGTTTTTTTAAATAGTTTTTTAAAGGTAAAATCTACGTTACTATCCTATTTTTTACCCGTCTGGGAGGCTAGGGGGGCGCGCCTGCCCCCCCCCCCCCCCCCGCTTATTCGCTGTTTGCCGGCTGGCTGAAAGAGAGATGGTGGAGAGGGAGAGAGAGAGAGAGATTATTGTTATTATCATTATTATTATTATTTATTTGGCTCGCTCGTATTTAAAGTTGATATAAATATGTTTCTTATTGAAGATCTTTTTAGTCTTTCATGATTAGATTGTGCTTAAAACTCCATCAGGATTGTTTTTTCCTCTTTATAAGATGTCTTTTGTGGGCACTGCGACCTCACAAATCTCAACATTTTGCTCGCTCGCTTCGCTCGCTAGCAAATAAATATTCTGACTATCCCAAAACAACTGCACAATTCCGGAGCTTCTGGGGCCCCGGGGGCTCCGCCTCCTGAATCCCACGCCAATTTACGCTATGCTCTACCTGATCGTAAATACTTTAGCCCCCCCCCCCAACTTGAAAAACGTTCCCCGGGGTCTGATGTAAGGTGTTTGAAGCCGGAGCCCGACGCCAGTGATTGCTGTCTGCCCATCCAAACTGATGTTTGGATAATCAAGTGAATCTTGTTTAGAAATGAAATAGAAGGATAATACTCTATGGACTCTTGATCTTGATGTTGAGGGAATCATTGCTGTGTTTAGTTATACATGTATCAATATTAAACACTTACACCTCGAGGCAAGGGTGTCGATTTGTATCCGTGGTTGGGGGGGGGGGGGGGGATGATAGGTGCCAAAATATTTTCGGCAATGGATCAAAGCAACCAAGAGGTAGAAGCGTGTGGCAGGTTGCACCCCTCCCCAAGCGCGTAGCCAGGATTTCATTTTAGGGGGGGGGGCAGTAGTGAGCACGCAAAGCGTGCGAATCAGGGGGAATCTCTAGGGGGTTCGGTGCAGGATTGGGGAGTTTCCCCCCTCCTCCGCGAAGAAGAAAGAAGACGATTTCATGTACCGTTCTCGACTCTAAATCCTTAATGTTTGAATCAAGTTCCCCTTCCTCCGCGCCGCGTAGCGCGGAAGCTCTGACGTTTCATTAGATTATTAAAGAAAGAAGACGATTCGATGTACCATTCTCGACTCTTAATCCTTGTCTGAATTCAGTTTCCCCCCTCTCGCGCGAAGCGCGGAAGCTTTGACGTTTCATTAAATTATTAGAGAAAGAAGACGATTCGTTGTATCGTGTCCTTGTCTGAGAGCAATTCGCCCCCGTCCTCCCGCGCAAAGCGCGGAAGTTTTGACGTTTCATTTGATTATTACTCTTAATCCACGTCTGAAATCACTTTCGCCCATCCCGCGCGTAGCGCGGGAGCTTTCACGTTTCATTAAATTATTAGAAAAAGAAGATGATTCGTTGTATCGTGTACTTTGACGTTTTATTTAATTATTACTCATAATCCTAGTCTGAAATAAGTTGCCCCCCTCCTGCGCAAAGCGCGGAACCTTTGCCGTTTCACTAAATTATTAGAGAAAGAAGACGATTTGTTGTACTGTTCTTTATATTAATCCCCACATGATGTACGTATTGAACGTTTGTTCGCAAATGCTTGCAAATTGCTTGTCGCAATAGCTTCTGGAAAGGAATTGTATACTACTGTTAGTGTTACGGCCACTAATTAGGCCCATTAGTGACTATACAAAATATATGCTCTTCTTAGCTATTGAGGAATGTGTCAGTTTGCAACAGCAATGGAGAAACGCGAAGTTTGTTGAAAATCATGTGATATCACGAACATATATAAATCACATGTATGAAATTGAAAATAAGTCATGGTTGGATTTTAAAGGGGGGGGCCCCAAGCCCCCTACATCAGCTTTTCAATTAAACAAAAATAAGTTGTGACATAATAATCTTCCTCCAAAAATGAAATCTGTGATGCTGTTGATTGAACAAATCGAATAAATTCATCAATTCCTGATGAAGCCGTATGAGCGAGAATTCAATTTATTCTTGTCTCATATACGGTTGTCTCATTTACTTCGAATATATGTATGTATTATGAAAATGAGATAGCAAAATGTGTATATTGATGGTCATCTTGCGAGTAATAACCATTCACTACTCTCATTGGAATCTCATTAATTTTTCTCTTAATTTTTTTTTTTTGAGGGTGAATTATTGGGGGGGGGGGGGATGGGGGGATGTATCCCCCCCCCCCCCCCGGGATCGACACCCATGCCTCGAGGTACCGGTACGTGTCATATATGCCAGCGTCCTAAAGACTTTTTGTTACACCGGCGCACTATGTTCATGCGGACTGCAGTCGATCACTGCACACATATAGTCCCGCTTCTTGAGTTTACAGTCTTTTCCTCCTAAAAAAATCCAAGGCTTATCATAATGTTATGCTGTCACGCATTTAGTTTGAAAATTAGATTTTTCTTCAGCTTCTCGGGGGGGGGGGGGGGGGCACATCCTGAATCCTCCCTCAGACTCGGCCTGTCCGGAACGCGGCGCGTCTTCTCACGAATTGCCCCCCCCCCCCCTTCGCCGTCGGCTGGAGATCCGCCCCTGCATAAGAGGTTATATATCAAACCAACGGACGTTGACTAGTCTTTAATTAATTAACACATACCTCTTTTGTTGGTTCCAAGGGACCAACGAGACAAACTTTGATCCCCGGGTAGTTGGAGAGCCATCTTGCCGCTGCCGATCCGACCAAGCCAGCTCCCACAATACACACATCGTATTGAACTGTGGCGTCCATGCCTCATTACAATACTCTATATAACGACAATTGGAAACGAACAAGCGTTCGGAAATGTATAACATGAATATCATGCGCTAACTTGATTGATGGACATGTTTATACAACATATGTTTATACAACACGTTTATACAACGCAGGGGCGTTTCAAGACGCCTTTGAAGAGAATTACGAGGGGGTAATTTGGTGGCGTGGTAAACCAGCTAGATTGTAAGGATGACGAAATTATAAGCTGATAAGCTGATGGTCACATTTAAAAGGGATGTTGACATTTGCGCCCCCCCCCCCCCTTTCAGGTACGTCATTAACAAACAAAAAATCTTTACCGACAAAAAATAAATAATGGAAGGTATACGAGCCACACCCCACCCCTCTAGCGAGAATAGATAAACAATTACGAACCGTTAGAAACAAACAAGACATGGATATATATATATCTTTGATACACGTGTGATGGTCTGAAAACACAGACTCTAATTCGAAAAGCTTCAATACAAGTCTCTCCATAGTCTCCTACTTCAGACCCTCCCTTTAATACGCGTTACCACTATTAAACCAGGGTTTACATAATTATGCCAGCACGGATGCGTCACCAAGCGATCATATACTAGCTTGCAGCCTGCACAAACCCTCGTTAGTCCTTGTCATAACAGTGTCTGCACTATGGGACTACAACGGACTCTGTACTTTAGCCACTTAATTGACAAATACAGCCAGACTGACAGAGCTAGGCTTATACCCTCTCCGATATGCGTCGGGCTGTACAAGTATACTATATCGCGTTTATATGGAGAGTGACATCTAGTCTGCAGGCACAGACCCTAATCTGACACTTAATCAAAAAATCATTGTGCCTTGAGAGAAGTCTAGCCCAGCTACCTACCGTGAAGGTAGCATATATTGGCACCAAGATTAACGGCGATATGAATATTCATTATTCCCTACGTCACAGACGTGCGGCGTGCGTACTCATATACACATGTATTCAGTACATGAGTACGTTCGTAAGCATTAGGTCATGTACATTGCTCCGGAATGAAGAGAATCATTATAAAGGACGAATTACTCCGTGAAGCCAAGTACAAGCAGGGAATTGAAAATAGCAAACGTTCCTCGGAGCGGCTATACACTCCCTAATCTAGCTAGTTTTGTAATGATAGTTTATTTAGGATAATGGACATTTAGTAGGCCTATTGTTTAGTTGTTAAATAACATCACTCAGTGTGATTTGATTCGAGATATATCTCATTAATAAAACAGTATAAAGGCTGTATGAGTCTCGAACGAACCATATCGCCACTAATCTTGGTGCCGACACCGTTAAACTATGCTCCAAATTTAGTAATACATTTTGTGTGCCCTATAATGACCCGGGGTTGGATTATTTAGGAGAACAGAAGATTGATATTGTTAAGTTGTTTCATAACATCACTCAGTTTGATTTGATTCGAGATATATCTCATTAATAAAACAGTATAAAGGCCGTATGAGTCTCGGACGAACGATCGCCACTAATCTTGGTGCCAACACCGTTAATCTATGCTCCAAATTTAGTAATACATTTTGTGTGCCCTATAATGACCCGGGGTTGGATTATTTAGGAGAACAGAAGATTGATATTGTTAAGTTGTTTCATAACATCTCTCAGTTTGATTTGATTCGAGATATATTTCATTAATAAAACAGTATAAAGGCTCTATGAGTCTCCAAGAACGATCGCCACTAATCTTGGTGCCAACACCGTTAAACTATGCTCCAAATTTAGTACTACCTTTTTTGTGCCCTATATGCTACAGACCCATGCAGGGTTGGATTCTTTAGGAGAATGGAAGATTGATATTGTTGTTTCATAACATCATTCAGTTTGATTTGATTCGAGATATATCTCATTAATAAAACAGTATAAAGGCTGTATGAGTCTCACACGAACGATCGCCACTAATCTTGGTGCCAACACCGTTAATCTATGCTCCAAATTTAGTAATACATTTTGTGTGCCCTATAATGACCCGGGGTTGGATTATTTAGGAGAACAGAAGATTGATATTGTTAAGTTGTTTCATAACATCACTCAGTTTGATTTGATTCGAGATATATCTCATTAATAAAAGAGTATAAAGGCTGTATGAGTCTCGGACGAACCATCGCCACTAATCTTGGTGCCAACACCGTTAATCTATGCTCCAAATTAAGTAATACATTTTGTGTGCCCTATGAAAGACCCGGGGTTGAATTATCTGGGAGAACGGAAGATTGATATTGTTAAGTTGTTCCATAAAATCATTCAGTTTCATTTGATTCGAGATATATCTCATTAATAAAACAATATAAAGGCTCTATGAGTCTCCAAGAACGATCGCCACTAATCTTGGTGCCAACACCGTTAATCTATGCTCCAAATTTAGTAATACATTTTGTGTGCCCTATAATGACCCGGGGTTGGATTATTTAGGAGAACAGAAGATTGATATTGTTAAGTTGTTTCATAACATCACTCAGTTTGATTTGATTCGAGATATATCTCATTAATAAAACAGTATAAAGGCTCTATGAGTCTCACACGAACGATCGCCACTAATCTTGGTGCCAACACCGTTAATCTATGCTCCAAATTTAGTAATACATTTTGTGTGCCCTATAATGACCCGGGGTTGGATTATTTAGGAGAACAGAAGATTGATATTGTTAAGTTGTTTCATAACATCACTCAGTTTGATTTGATTCGAGATATATTTCATTAATAAAACAGTATAAAGGCTGTATGAGTCTCCAAGAACGATCGCCACTAATCTTGGTGCCAACACCGTTAAACTATGCTCCAAATTTAGTACTACCTTTTTTGTGCCCTAAAGACCCATGCAGGGTTGGATTCTTTAGGAGAATGGAAGATTGATATTGTTGTTTCATAACATCATTCAGTTTGATTTGATTCGAGATATATCTCATTAATAAAACAGTATAAAGGCTGTATGAGTCTCACACGAACGATCGCCACTAATCTTGGTGCCAACACCGTTAATCTATGCTCCAAATTTAGTAATACATTTTGTGTGCCCTATAATGACCCGGGGTTGGATTATTTAGGAGAACAGAAGATTGATATTGTTAAGTTGTTTCATAACATCACTCAGTTTGATTTAATTAGAGATATACCTCATTAATAAAATATATATATATAAAAGCTATAGTCTCAAACTAACTTACCTGTACACCATTAAACTTGGTGCCAACACCATTAAACCATGCTCCAAATTTAGTAATACGTTTTGTGTGTCTGCAAAGACCCGGGGTTGGATTATTTAGGAGAACGGAAGATTCCTATATTGTTAAGTTGCTCTATAACACAGGCGCGGTTCCAGGGAGGCAGCGCCCCCCCCCCCGCAAAAATAAAGAGAGAGAGAGAGAGAGAGAGAGAGAAAAGGAAAAGAAGGACAGGGAAAGAGGAGAGAAAGGGAAAGAAAGAAGAGGAAGAAGACAAGAAAAGGGGGAAGAAGGAGATTGGGGGGACCGAAATGGCCTTGCCTTCCAGGCTGTTGCCTCCCCGCCCCCCCCCCCCCCCCCCCAATAAAAAAAAATATGAGCGAAGGAAGGAAAGGGAAGGGAAGAAAGGAAAAGAGGAGATAAAGGGAAGGGAAATAAAAGAGGAAGAAGAAAAGAAAAGAAGGAGGGTATCAGTTTTCCTGCCAATAAGTTGTGGTTCGGGGGGGGGGGGTTATTTCTAATTCCATAACGGTGACTTACAAAATGTTGCTAAAATGACATCATTTTCCGAGATTGTTCCTCACTTTTTATTAAATTATACTTTTTTATGCGTTTGTTGGAAAATGACATATTCCGAAATTTACAGTCAGGCAAGAAAAATATGCTTATTGAGATGCCTACATGTCGGGGCCCGCGGAACGGTCGGGATCGGGAGCCTCGAGCTCCCTCGCCCTCCCCCTCTTTTTTGAAAAAGTATATTAAAGAGAGCAAGAAATAAAAAATAGTGAACTGCCAGTGTCACAGAAAAAAATGAGGTATCAAAATATGCTCATCTGACCGTGATTAAATGCCTAAACCCCCCGAACTTTCGGGGTCTCTACCCTCTGGATTCCACCTAGGGCCAAAGGTCGGCCCTTAAATGCTCATCTGACGGTAATTTAATGCCTAAAACCCCTGGAATTCTTGGGGCTTTGCCCCCTTTACCCCAAGCCAAATAGTGTCCTGCAAATGTCACAAAATAATAAGGTATCAAACATTGCTAACCTGACCGTAATAAAACGCCTAAAACCCCTGAGCCTCCGGGGGCTCTGCCCCTGAACCAAACCAAGGGCCCTAAGGCGGGCCCCTGAATGCTTATCTGACGGTAATTAAACACCTAAAACCCCTGAGCTTCCGAGGGCTCTGCCCCTAGACCCAACCAAGGGCCTTAAGGCGGGCCCCTTGATACTCATTTAATTTAATGCCTAAAACCCTTGAGCTTCCGGGGGCCTCGCCCCCTGAACTCCACGACAATTGGTGATCTGCCAGTGTCACAATAAGTCCCCCCCCCCCCCCAAAGAAAAAAGAGAGGAGAAAAGGGAAGAGGTCATAGGAAGAAAAAGGAGCAGACAAAGAACAATTTTGAAATTCAGACAAGGATTAAGAGTCCAGAACGGTACACAAATCGTCTTCTTTCTTTAATGATTTAATGAAACGTCAAAGCTTCCGCGCTTCGCGTATGAGGGAGGGGAAACTCGCCCCTCCCTGCATCCCCCCCCCCCCCCCCAGGGAACGCGCTCTGTAAGTGATTCGCACGCATCGCGTGCTCCGACCCCCCTAAAATAAAATCCTAGCTACGCGCTTGCCTGACCGTAATTAAACGCCTAAAACGCTGAGCTTCCGGGGGCTCCGCCCCCTGGACCCCACGCAATTAGTGACCCTGCCAGTGTCACAAATAAGGTATAAAAATATGCTCATTTGACCGTAATTTAATGCCTTAAACCCCTGAGCCTCCGGGGGCTAAAGGTGTGCCCCTGAATGCTTATCTGACCGTTATAAAATGACTCAAATCCCTGAGTTTCATGGGGCTCAGCAAGTAAGTTTTGAAAAAGAACAAAAACGAGTAATCCAATTGTATCGGCAA